GTAGTTATTATTTTATTATATGAAAAATAAAAAAAAACATTTGTCTAAGATAAAAGATTAACATTGTCTTTAAATCATCCTAAAAAGATTATTTTTTAATATTTATTATGGAAAAACTTCTTCTTTAGAAAGTCTTTGTAATTATATAAAAAATTGAAAATGAAGGCGTGAGGAATACTGATCATTTTTTTTTATTTTAAGGATTAATTGGGAAGATTTAATTTTAGAAAAATTTTTTTTGTTAGTTTTACTTTAAGATTTTTTTATGATCACTAGAAAAAGGATCACATTAACTACTACTATCATCAAATTCGTTGTTGTATTTTTATGGAATACGTTAAAAATAAGAAAAAAAAATTATGAATCGTAATTGCTATTTTAGGTTGGGTGAAAATTGATCCAAAAAAAACAATAAAAACATCAGCTTTTCGAAAGTGAAGAAACTGAACAAAGGGGCACCTATGTGCTATATATTTTTATTGTAACAATAAACCAAATTTATAAAACCAAATTTATTAATCTGATGTTTTGATGTATACTAACTTGCATACTCATACTTGCATAGGATCAAGGATTTTTCTTGGAGAAAGTGATTGGTGTTATAAATTGTAATGCATATGACTTTTTTTTTTAATTGAATAAATGTTTATATAAATTTTGTTTTCATGATTAAATTTAACAAATCGTTAAATACTGAGAAAAGTGAGTAGGTGAACCATCTTCTATAGAGTATTCGCTACATTCAGGCTATTAATGTATGAGAGTCTCGAAGGCCTTTGTTGAGATCTTGATTCTTCGAAACCTTCCTTTACTTCCTGAGCCAGTAACTAAAATTTTGTAATTTGCTATTAATATTTGTTAATGCAAATCATTTATTATAAATAGCAAGAATACTTACAGCCCACTTTATCACACATTCATAAAAGAATACAAAGTCCACCATCTCAGTGAAGTCACGTGGGAGGTTCGTATTATCCACTTCATTCAGAAAGAACTTTCCTTCTAAGATTAGAATACCATTAGTCGATAAAATGTTATAATATAGACAATAATATAAATCAAACATACATGACTTACCACAATAGTTTAAAAATTGTAGGTGAATTCTAAGGCGGAAACTTTGCCCACCAAAAACAGCAAGCATTTTGGGAAATCGTCGTCTACATTTTATGTTATCTTTTATTATATTTATAAAAATGTTTTGAAGATTGTAGGATATTTTTGAGGCATTTGAAATTTCTTTGCCATCATTAGTGTTTGGCTTCGATCCTTCCATATAAACTAGCTGAAATTTATCAGCTGTGTTTAGATACCCAATACCGTCAGAATATCCACGTTTTATATGATTTTTTGATCTGATTTCTCCAAATTCATAGCATATTGCTGAAATATACCAAAGCGACGCCTGTAGACACGGGTGGACAAAAGAGTTTAAGTGTAGTCTTTCTAATGCACCTAAGTTAAGTATAAGGTTGTGGGTGAAACCTCCTTATTAATTGCTGAAACCACGGCAAAAATATATTAAATCTTATCAAAAATCCTGTTGAAACTATGCCGAAATGGTGAAACCTCAAAATGTGAAACTCTGCTGAAACTCTAATAAACAATTAATGTGCAACCTGCTGAAACCCTGCTAATTGATTTCTGGATGAGTTTTGGCAAGCAACCTTAGTTAAGTAGTGGATTTCAAGCTCCCATAGAAAACGCCATGATGCTACAAAATTTTGAGTAAACATATGTTAATATCAGTTGCAGGACATTCTGATTTCTCCAAATTCATAGCATATTGCTGAAATATACCAAAGCGACGCCTGTAGACACGGGTGGACAAAAGAGTTTAAGTGTAGTCTTTCTAATGCACCTAAGTTAAGTATAAGGTTGTGGGTGAAACCTCCTTATTAATTGCTGAAACCACGGCAAAAATATATTAAATCTTATCAAAAATCCTGTTGAAACTATGCCGAAATGGTGAAACCTCAAAATGTGAAACTCTGCTGAAACTCTAATAAACAATTAATGTGCAACCTGCTGAAACCCTGCTAATTGATTTCTGGATGAGTTTTGGCAAGCAACCTTAGTTAAGTAGTGGATTTCAAGCTCCCATAGAAAACGCCATGATGCTACAAAATTTTGAGTAAACATATGTTAATATCAGTTGCAGGACATTGCAGATCTACAGGGGGTCAAGTGTCACTCACTAATAAAAATTTTTTGATCAACACGGAATTTTATATGAAAAAATGAAGA